CACTTCCTATAATTCTGTATTTCTCTTATGTTTTCCTTTTACTTGCCAATAAAGTCCCTAGCTATTTCTCAACTTCCCCCATCCCCCTATGCAATCACTTCCCCTCATTTATCTCCTCCTTACCTCCTCTCCCCAGTAACATATGCACAGATAGAATTTATCAATCCAGGGTAGAACTGTGGGATTGTCTCTTGGGCAGCAATTACACGTTGTTTCAGGAGTTGATGACCTTTGAAGATGTAGCTGTGTATTTTACAAAGAAGGAATGGAAGCAGCTGACCCCTGATCAAAGGCACCTCTACAGAGATGTGATGCTGGAGAATTATGAGAATATGGTTTCTCTAGGTAAGACTTGTTGCCCCTACCATGATAAATAATAATCCTGTAGAGCAGGAACTTTTAACCTGGGATTTGTGAACTTACTAAAGAATGTTCTGATAACTATTAAATGTAATTAGTTACCTCTGCAAGCTTTTTGTGCTTTTAAAAAAGGAGTTCATAGGCTCCACTGGACTGCCAGAGGGGTTCATGACCCAAAAAAGGTTAAGAGTGCATGCCCAAATGCCTCTTGGCCTTAACTTACGTGACCTCTGGAAAGCTTGGCTTGGTTGTAACTTGAGAATTGAACCTTTCTCATCCATTTTGGGCCCAGAGATAGCCTGTTTTTGTTTTCTGTCTTTAAAAGACAGAGCTGTTCTCTATAAAGGAAGAAATAGACAGCTTTCTTGGACTTTCCCAGATACAACCACTTTTTCTGTTGTTACACTCTTTATCAGACACTGCCTTAGTCCTTACAGCTTCTCTCTGTATTTGTGTAACTGTGGCCCTTCTGTGACTGATAGCTTTCCAACCTCAAGCAGGAGGAAAACAAATGAACTTCCTGTTCTTCTGTGCCTAGATTGCTCCTTTCCTAATAGCATATTCTTACCCCAATCTCTGGGAACACATTTACTTAACAGACTCCTCCCACCTTCCCCCTTATTTCCCATAAATCAAGAGGCTGGAGCCAGGAGTCAGCTCTTAAATCTTGAACTTTTACTCCTATACAGTATTACCAGTTATTGACAATGGAGTATGACTATGTTGCGTTGTCTCTCTTGAACATACTTGAATATATTTAAGCCTTTTTCATTATCAAATGAAAGGCTCTGTCTTCTGAAATAGACATTTCAGACCTAAGAGGTAGATATTTAGGGGGAAGGCCTTGGTGTTTTACCCTTGAATCTCTATACCAGATCTGAAAGGTATATACTGGTAATCAAGCTTCAGTTTTTTGGTGGGTTTGGGTTGAAAGGAGCAGGGGAGGGTTGGGGTTTTTTTTGACAGGAGATAGTAATAGATCAAATCACAATCCACTGTAACATAATTTAGTTATAAACAGATAACTATTATAGCAAGGGGCACCCATAGCAAATGAAGAGTTATTTATGAAATGTGAGCATATATGAAGAGTAAACTGTTAATTGCTTAGCAAGAGTTTGGCTCACATAGCTGCTGGGAGCCTAGCTTAGCTTCCTATCTTAGCTCACAGGAAGCTCCAGCTTAGGTAGGGCCTTTCTGGATTTGTGGCCAGATAAGGCTCTGCCAGGATTGGATCTTGGGCTCAGACCCTAACCTTAAATGTACCCTTGGGAAAGAAGAGATCTAGGACTACAGGTCCTAGATGAGTCAAAGTTCTGTCCCGAGAAAACAAAGGAACAGGATGGAATCTAGGCCCAGGGAGAAATTAGAGGTTTCATATAATTATTCTTTATCTTTTTATGTCTGTGTCCCATTTTCCCAATTAGGCTATAATTTTCTTGAGGGCAAGGACCATACCTTTCATATAGTTGCATTAACTTTTCACAATTTCTAAGAGTTGGAAGGAACCTCAGAGTGTCTAATCCAGCCAACCTTGAACAAGAGACATAAAGACTGGACTTCTGATTTCATTGGTATGAGGAACTTCCAAGGTGAGGAAACTTCCTTTAACAGAGCAAATTCATACCTTCTCTGTAATTTACAGTCTTGGAAAGTTGCCTAGACCACCAAGAAATTAAGTGACTTGTCCATGGTCACCCAGCTAGAGGTAACACTTGAACACAGATCTGGCTTCCAGCCAGATCTACTATGTCATGTACCACTCAACCAAACAAGAATCTTCTGTCAAACATTCTTTATAATAGTCATCCAGCATCTGCTTAAAGACCTGTGGTGACATGGGACCCACTAACTCCTGAGACAGCTCTCATTCATTGTCATTTGAGTTTGATGATTACCAGTGGTTTTTGCATCTTCAGAATCCTGGAGAGAAACTGGTTTAGTCTGATCCCTGGCATTGCTTTGAATTTTTCAGCACAAAGCTACACATTCTATTTCCTTTCTTACAAGCAGGAGTTCCAGTCCACAAACCTGATGTGATCTCTCAGCTGGAACATGGGAAAGAACCATGGGTCCTGAATCTGCAGAAAGCCGGTGAAAGAGAGGAGACCCTGAGATACTTCAGCATAGGTGAGGGAAGACAGCACGAGTCAGTGGAAGTTGTCATTTTTTTAAAAATGAAAACTTTCTTCTGCATAGGATACACTGTTTGAAGAAGGCTTCATAATGAGAAGGGGACTGTGAGTGGGAGTTTATTTGAGAAGCAGTCCCAAGGTAAGGCAGCAGAGAATATAAATTATTCTGTGGGAAGGAACAATTGAAAAGATCCAGAATATCCTGGGGGAGGAATTTTTACCACACAGTGAGTCATAGAAACATAGATTCTTAAATTTGAAAGGGACTTTAAAGGTCGTATCATAAACCTTGACCCTCTCTAGTTCAGCTAGATGACTAGGTCATGAAGTCCTGTTACCTATCATGAATCCTCTCTCTAACATGCCCAAATTATCTTAGCCTCTGCTTGAACATCTCCAGTGATGGTGAGCTCACTATCTCTTGATGAAAAGAAAAACCAGCTTCAAGTAGTTGAATGGTTGACATGCAGAAAAGGGGTTAGTTTGTTCAGTTTAGTCCTAGAGGGCAGAAGAAGGAGTGGGTGGAGGAGAGGAGGCAGATCTAGGCTAAATGTAAGGAAAAACTTCCTGATACAGCTGTCTTAAACTGGAATAAACTAGCTGTAGAGTCTTCATTAGAGGTCTTCAAATAAAATCTCAGGGATGGGAAACTTGCGACCTCGAGGCCACATATGGCCCTCCAGGTCCTCAAGTGTGGACCTTTGACTGAACAAAGGATTTGTTCTGTGAAGTTTGGATTCTGTCAAAGGGCTGCATTTGAGGACCTAGAGGGGCCACATGTGGTCTTGAGGCTGCAGGTTCCCCACTGCTGGTCTAGATGACTTTTTCAAGAATGTTGTAAAAGGCATTCCTTTTTTTAATTTTTAAATTTTATTTTTATTTTTTTAGTCAGTTAACAAGCCTTTTAAAAGTATTTATTATGTGCTGGGTATGACATTTAAGAAATTTGAGACATAATTTCTAGGTAACAATTTCTCATATAATTTCAATAATTTCATAATTTCTCCTTTACTTGCAACTCTATAGTGAAAATCTTGCCTATACTAATGTTTGATCCAATTTCAAAATAGAAATATGCAATTTGAATTACAGTCACATTCAATGCAAGTGTCAAATAATCATAATAGATGAGGTTTTGGTTTTTTTTTTACAAAAAGGTTCAAAGCATCTTGTCAACTCATAAAAGCAGTTACTAAGTATGCCTCGTTTTATGGTGTTTAATAAAAAGGTGCTCCTCTTAAAAATAAAAGTCAAGGAATCTATGACCTGATCGAAACAATTTCAGCAACACACAACCTGCTGAATTAACACTTCTCATTACAAAGATGCCAAGAATGCTTGTGGGAGACAAAACACTGTTCAGTTGCACAGTAGCATCTATGGTTATTTCAAACATGGACGTGAATCCTTAGCATAGATAGACATTTGTCAAGGGAAGCCAAGGCAAAGTTTGCTGCTCATTATTTATAAAGGACCACTGCTTCTCCCCACTATCCCATGACTCCTAGAAATAAACTGTGCCTCAAATATTCCTTATTTAAAATCACATTTTTTACAAAGCTATTTAGTACCTGACACAGAAAAACAATCACAATTTGAGAATCATTTAACATGAAATTATACAATTAAAATTTTCATAAACACAAATCCACATTTGTCATAACACAGAGAGCAAAGGACAAAGCAAAAACAAGAAAACTAAATTGGCTGTTGTATACAATTGGACACAGTTGTGTCATGTACACTAAAAGTCGTTTACAAAATGGTCATCTCAGATCTATAGAAGACCCCTCTCCATTCAGTGTTGTCATCCCACAAGTTAAGCTGCTGCACATCTGCTTCTGTTTTCTCCATGTCCTCCTGTAATATGGCTGGTAATTATTTTAGCGATTACCACCCCCTCAGGATGATTTGCCATTAGTGCTTTGTTGACCATCGTAGTCTGCATATCCCTGTCCATAACCATAGTTTCCATAGTTATACCCAGTATAATCATGTCTGCCATAGCCACTATAGTTTTGATCATCACCACAGGCACTATTGTAATTTCCATATTCTTGATCATAATGGTTATTAACTCCTTAGTAGCAGTTTCGGCTCTGACCTCCGAAGTGGCCCATAACCCCGCCTCTCCCACCTCGACCGCCAGCTGCAGCGCCCCTCGCTCCTTTCTGTTGTTGCTGTTGCTGCCTGCTTTCTTCTTTGGGCCTAGCAGCTTTGATTTCACACTTCCCATAACCAATCTGATGATACCTGTTTTCTAATAATTTTTTTACTGGTTCTTCATCTACATAGGTGATAAAACAAAATCCTCTTCCTTCCTTTGTTTTTTTGTCCTTAGGAATTTCAATATTCTCAATCTCTCCAAACGCTCCAAAATATTCTTTGATTTGTTCTTTAGATATATCTCGGCTCAGTCTGCCAACAAATACTTTTTTACAGGACTCCTTTCTCTTTAAAGCTTTAGCCCTTTTGGGGTCTATCAACTTGCCACCCAGCTTGTGCTCTTTAAATTCCAAGACCTTATCAACACTGGCAGCATCTTTGAAAAGCACAAATCCGAATCCCCTTGATTTCCCTTTGGCATCTGTTTTAATTATGCAGTCTACAATCTCTCCAAAACGAGACAGGTATTCAGTGAGATCTTTCCTGCTCGTATCCCAGTTTAGCCCGCCAATAAACATTTTACTATCATCCTGCTGGTTCTTGCTGGCGTTGATTTTGGAGCCCTCGGAGAACGCCGAGTAGCGGTACTTGTTCACCTTCTCCATGGTGGTGCGGCTGTTGGCAGGGGCAAGACGTGCAGAGGAGGAGTAGCAGCTGCCAGGTTGTATTGAGCTTGTGAAAGGCATTCCTGTTCAGAGAGGATGGGACTCAAAGGAATGAGGGAAGGAAAGAAAGAAGGAAATAAACACTTACTAAGCACTTACTACGTATCTAGCACTGTGAATACAAATAAAAGTTAAAAGGAAAACAGTCCCTGCCCTCAGAGAGCTTACTTTCTAATGGGAGAAGACCACACACAAAAAGGAACTAAAAAACAAGGTGGAGAGGGGAGGTACCCACAGAGGGATGACTTTGACATCTCGAGTAAGCTCAGAACAGAGCAGGGTGGGGGGAATGAAGGCTTGCCGGTCACAGCCCTTCCACAAAACTCACCAATGGAAGAAGTGGGGCGGGCCTCGTAGAGGGATATAGTAGATGGAGTAGGCTTCCGGAGTGGTAGGTTGTTACTGGGTGACAAGGCCTCAGACACTGCAGGGAAGTTCCAGGATGTTCCACCAGTGGAGGGAAGTGAAGAGGAAGGAAGTCAGGCACATGGCTGGGAGGGGGATGGCCTCTTCAATCCCTTCCATTTCTCACACTGGCTCATTATGTAATTTCCCAAGGCCATCTCCGACATTTTTTGGACTACTTTAATCGTTAGGAACTTCTTACTCATATTAAGATAATATCTGCATCTCAGACTTGGTCCCTTAGGGCGCTCAGGAGAGGCAGGGAAGAGAAAGAAAGGGCATAATGGCAGGGATTGAACAGATAGCTAGAGACAGATTGCAAAATATAAGCCTTGCATTGAGCAGGAAGTAATATTATAATCTTTTATAGCTGAGTAAACTGGGGCAGAGATTAAATTACTTTTCTGTAGTCACACAACTAGCAAGTCCCCTAGGCAGGATCTGCACTCAAGTCTTCTAATTCCAAGTCCAGTGTTCTTTCCACTTTACTGTTGTGTCTTTTAGGTGATGAGTGCCACAGAGCCAGGCAGAGGAACCTTCTCTTTTTCTTGTCTCTTTAGGTTCATTTTCCTGTTTACCACACAGCCTGCCACAACTATCAACTTCTCAATCCCTCGCTTTATCACCCCTCTGACCCCACTTCTCACACTTCATACCGGCTCATCTCCTTTTAACCCAGTTTGGTCTCCCACTATTGCTAGCACATACTCTCAGCTCCCTGTTCATTTCCACCTCTTCTGCTCAGCCTGTTTCCCTGGTCAAACTCCACCAGCCCTGAAGTTGGCTACCGAAAAGTACAGTGTTACAACACCGTTGTTGACAGGTGGATTCACTGGCTGGTGCACAAGCTCCTCCTTCTAGAAAGTTAGAAAACTGATAGGATCAATGAGCAAGTGAATTCTCCTTTCCAATGCTCTACAACTTGAAAAGCCTTCTTCTTTGAGACCAGATTTTAAATAACTCTCTCTACCATTAGCTTTCTTGCTGGGAGAGAAGAGAAACTTAGAGAATAGCAAATTACAAAGGAGCACTTAAAATAGCTTTCCTAGCTTATGCTGGTGTTATCCTCTGGGTGGGCCACTTCACACTATTCTCCTCCCTCCTTAGCTAACCTGAGGTTCTTATGCCTTTCATCTATTCTCTCAAGATTGACAGCTAGTTTTGAGAACTACCAAAGCTATGTATTTCAATTAAATTACTATGGGGGCAGGGGGAAAGCTCATAACTAAAATTATTTTCCTTTTTCCTCAGCTTACAGAAGGAATGACCTTTGAATTTGCCTTTTATTTTTTCAGATTGTGAGAGCCAGAGTGAGAACAAGAAGTCATGTCAAAAAGGCATTCCAAAAAAGATAAAATCACATGGAGCACCACTGGCAATGCCCTTAAATAATGTAACTCAGGAAACTCATTTTGGAGAGGCTGGTGAATCTGAGAGAATTTTAAAGGGAAATCAAGGAAACTCCACAGTGGTGATTTTGAAGAAGTACTGTTGCCAAGAGAGAGGTTTCAGTAAATTGGCTATGACCCCAAAGAAAAATGCAATGGGAGGGAATGCTGAAGAGCTGAATAAACGTAGGAGAAATTTAAGTTTGAATTCAAACTCTGTTTCTCACCCAAGACATACTGTAAGAGAGAAGACCCATAAATGTGACACATGTGGCAAAAGTTTCCAATATAATTCAGATCTTAATCTACATCAGAGAATTCATACTGGAGAAAAACCCCACAGATGTTGTGAATGTGGAAAAAATTTTAGTCGGAGCTCACACCTTAGGGAACATCAAAGAATTCATACTGGAGAGAAACCCTATAAGTGTAACAAGTGTTTGAAAGCTTTTAGTTGTAGCTCCCACCTTATTCGACATCAGTTAATTCACATTAGAGAAAAACCCTACAAGTGTGATAAATGTGGTAAAGCCTTTAGTCTGAATTCACGACTTAGTCTACATCAGAAAACTCACACTGGAGAGAAGCCATTTAAATGTAATCAATGTGGGAAAGGCTTCATTCAGAGCTCACAGCTTATTCAACATCAGAGAATTCATACTGGAGAGAAACCCTATGGATGTGATGAATGTGGAAGAGCTTTTAGTCAAAGCTCACATCTTATTCAGCATCAGAGAATTCATACAGGGGAGAAACCTTATGCATGTGAAGAGTGTGGGAAGACCTTTAGTCAGAGCTCACAACTTAAACTGCATCAGAGAATTCACACTGGAGAGAAACCTCACAAATGTAATGAGTGTGGGAAATCTTTTAGTCAGACTTCATTACTTATTCGACATAAGAGAATTCACACTGGAGAAAAACCTTATGAATGCCATGAATGTGGGAAAGCCTTTCGCCAGAGTTCAACCCTTGTTCAACATCGGATAATTCATACTGGAGTAAAACCCTATAAATGTAATAAATGTGGCAAAGCTTTTGGTCGAAGTGCGTACCTCATTGAACATCAAAAAACTCACCCTGGAGAGAAATCTCATCAAAACGATGACTATAGGGTTATCTTAGATAGTTCAAAACTTATTGATAAGAGAATCCAACCTGAAAAGTCCCCCAAAATTAATGAATGTGGGAAAGCCTGCAGTGAGGGCTCATTACCTATTCAACACCAGAAAGTTCATACCGGAGAGAAACCTTATAAATGTAATGAATGTGGGAAAACCTTCAGTTGGTATACATGTTTTGTGAAACACCAAAGAAATCATATTGGGGGAAAATCTCAACATAATAAGCATGAGAATGCTTCAAATATTTCAAGCTTTACTGAACACCAAAGAATTAATACTATGGATAAACCCCATAGATGTAATGAATGTGGGAAAAGCTTTGGTCAAAGCTCATTACTTATTCGGCATCAGAGAATTCACACTGGAGAAAAGCCCTATGAATGTCATGAATGTGGGAAAGCCTTCAGTCAGAGATCAACTCTTGTGCAGCATCAGATAATTCATACTGGAGTAAAACCCTACAAGTGTCTTGAGTGTGAGAAAGCCTTCAGTAGGAGGGCATACCTTATTGAACATCAAAAATCTCATATTGGGGGGAATTCATATCAGTATACTAATTATGCTAATACCTTAACTAGTTCAAGTCATAGTGAAGATCAAATAATTCATACTGAAAAGAAACATAAATGTAATGAATGTGGTAAAGGTTTCAGCGAGAACTCATTACTTAATCAGCATCAAAGTGTTCATACTGGAGTGAAACCCTACAAATGTGATGAATGTGGAAAAGCCTTTACTTGGAGTTCACATCTTATTTTACACCAGAGAATTCATACTGGAGAGAAGCCCTATGAATGTCATGAATGTGGGAAAGCCTTCAGTCAGAGCTC